TGCATTGGATTCTGTGATAGCCCCTGAGAAAATAATCAATATCCAGCAGATCGGGACCTTTGCCTAGGTGTAAGGCACAGACTCATAGGGAAGCAGTTACCTTGACCTCTGAAAAGTGGAAGGAAGAGAAAGTACACATGAGAATATAGGTTAAAAAAGGATTAAGGTGCAAATGCTACAGGTGAGATTTAATGGGGCTGTTTCTGAGAGAGAGCTGTTTCCTTAGCTCTGAGCAAGAGAAAATGAGTAAGAATTGAGGTAATAAATAATGCAAAGGTGAGTCTAAGAATGATGAAGAAGAAGCTCTAATGATGAGAGCACATCAGAGGGTCACAAGCCACTACTGAGGTAAAAGTCGGCAGGGGCACTTGGGGAGGAGCAAGTTCCCTGTGTCTGGACCTCCCGAAGGTGCTCCCTTCAGTGACCCTGGAGAGGCTGCAGAAAAGGGAAGCAATTAGTTCATTCCCAGCCTTCTGTCCTCAGACATGCCTGTTGTATGTTGTCCAGTCTATTCTGACTCTTATCAGCCCCATGGGACACAGCGGAACTGCCCCATAGGGTTTCCTGGCTGTACTCTTTACAGAAGCAGATCACCAAGTCGTTTCTCTCCTGGAGCTGCTAGTAAGTTGGAACTGCTGACCTTTTGGGTAGCAACCCAACGCTTTAGCCATTACACCACCAGCGCTCCTTCTAGGCAGGCGTAGGGGCTGGGAATTTAACAGAAGGATTGTGGAGAGCAGGGCACATATAACCAAGCGAAGAGTGAAAGGACTAGCCCCTAAGACTCTCTTCCTTCTCTCATGGGCTCTCATCTCTGCTGGCCCCGACCAGGAGCCTGGGCTTTCACAAAGGGGAAAACAGGGGCTCCACCTCACAGGCTTCTCTGGGGGGAAAAGGACTTTCTGACTGAAAAAGAGGATTCTAGCTGCACTCGGCAAGGTGCAAAATCAAAACTACAGAATAAGAAGGGGATGGGGGAAGACTCAGCCTGGAGAAACAATGGTCCCTCCAGGAAGAAAACATGTCCCTTCACTTCTTCAGAAGCCCTGGTGGCGCAATGGATAAGAGCTCGGCTGCTAACCAAAAAGTCGGCAGTTCGCATCCACCAGCCGCTCCTTACAAACCCTATGGGGCAGTACTACTCTGTCCTATAGGGTCGCTATGAGTCGCAACTGACTCGATAGCAAAGGGTTTTTGGTTTCACTTCCTCAGGCGCCCTGGTCGCACAGTGGTTAAGAGTTGGGCTGCTAACCAAAAGGAAACCCTATGGGACAGTTCTACTTTGTCCTATAGGGTCGCCATTAGTCCGAATCCACTCCATGGCAACGGGTTTGGTTTTTTTGCTTCACTTCTTCAAACCGCCCTTCTTTCAGGGCCGCCACTCCCTCATGCTCAATCGGCCCTTCAGTTGGCCCCAGGAGTGGGAAGCCTGTAAACGCTCTTTTGTTCCCTTCAGAGCAGCTTCAGGACCATAAATAAAACTCACCGAGCACATTCTTTTTCTTCCAGAAGTTTCCGACCCTCTGCCTCCACAAACTGCCCCACGCACCTTCAGTCCCCAGTGGAGAAGTGCGGATTCACGGTAGAACAGACAAAGCAGACCGGGGACAGCAGTGATCAGAAATCAAACCGCAAAGAAGGAACCTGAACACCACATGGAGTTCCCACGAAGGGGCTGAAGCAGAAACGAAACTTAAAATCTTACTGGCTGGAAAGAGAACAAGGCGGAAGAGAAACTTGGGACCAATGAGAGGCTGCTACAAAGATCCCTGGGGAGAGGGTAATGCCTTAATGTGGGCTGGTGTCTGGGCGTTCGCAGAAGTTACGAGCTCAGCAGTTCCAGCTCACCAGATGCTCCTTGGAAACCGTATGGGGCAGTTCTGCTCTGTCCTGTAGGGTCTCTACTCTGTCCTGTAGGGTCTCTATGAGTCGCAATTGAGTCGACAGCAACAGGTTTGGTTTAGTTTGGTGCCTGGGCCAGCCATGCGCGCACTAACTACATTCTTTTTCCTCCAGTTGTACTACATGCCCAATTTTGGTTCTACAAACTCGACTCCCCTTCAGTGCGGAGCTGTACCTGCTCGCCCCTGCCCTGCCCCGGCCAAGCTCCCTCCCATCGCCTAGGAGTTGTTTGTTGCCCTACGTTCATCTTCTTATTCTGACTGCATGTTCTAGACAGTGCAGTTACAAGGTAGCGGAGCTTGCATACCATGGATCCCTGACTGACTCACTGGAGTACAGCTATCTTCACACATTAACTGACGTGGGAGACACAGGATGTTAAAAATCAATTTCTAGAGTTGAAGCAGTGTTATTTTGGTATTGTTTGTTGCCGCTGGAATAATAGCTAATTCTGGCTTATACTTTTTTTTTTGCTCACTTACATCTATGAGGCAGGAACTGACAATGATAGTGACATAATTGCTAACCTATATTGACAGTTTCCTTTTTGTTTTGTGTCAGGGAAGTTGGTTCTACCAATGAAAAAATCCATGATGTTGAAATTTAATGATAAACCAAAAAAACAAACCCGTTGCCATGGAGTCAATTCTGACTCATGGTGACCCCATGTGTTACAGAGTAGAACTGTTCCGTAGAGTTTTCTTGGCTGTAATTTTTAGGGAAGTAGATTGCCAGGCCTTTCTTCTGTGGTGCAGTTCGGTAGGTTCAAACCACCAACTTTCAGGTTACGTTTTAGGTTAGTGGTCAAGCACAAACCATTTGCAGAAAAGCCCCAAGTTTAATGATACTTATTTTAATGTTGTACACGTTATATTGAGAGGTGGCAGTTTTTCCTTTATATCATCTTAGTCGTCACATATCCTAACATTCATATCCCTGCCATCTTGCCCTGCACTCTGCAAGTGTAAGTTTCATGAAAACAAGCAGGGACCTTGCCTATCTTGTTCCTTATTGTCTCAGATCTACTATATTGTTGTGGTGGTGTGCCATTAAGTCAACTTACAACTCACAGCAACCCCACATGACAGAGTAGAACTGCCCCATAGGGTTTTCTAGACAGTAATCTCTACAGGAGCTGATCACCAGGTCTTTCTCCTGAGCCACTGGGTGGGTTTGAATCACCAACCTCTCAGTTAGTAGCTGAGTGCTTAACCTTTGCATCACCAGGGCTCCTTCGATCTACTATAAAGTGTATATAGGGAGTGAAAGTTAAAGATACATACGCAGATTTTATTTGTAGATACAATTTTATTGAATTGACCATATTGAGGATAATCATGCTTTTGTTCTATTATTGTTACAATAAACATAATTGCTGGGTACATAATGAAATGCTGCTATTTTTCTGGTATTATTTTAACCAACAATTCCTCAAATCTTTTCTGTTTTCTTCCTAAGGTTTACTCAGACTTACCTCAGTGCCTGCCGTTTTATCCATCTTCACCACCACACTCTAATTTCATTAATTTTTACCTTGCCAAGAATTTTTCAAGCCAGAAATTGTTAAAAATTTATAGGCCCAGAGAGAAATCATTAGATTCCTCTTCACCAGGAGTTTTAAGAACTGAGGGCAAGGGGACCACAGAGCCCTAAGGAGGATTTATTATTCCATGGGACCTCTGAACACAATTACCTGGAAAGTGGAGCATGCCAACGTCCTCAGCTCTGGAGATAAATTGTGTATGGTGGGAGAAGGAGCATGGTGCATTCAGGTTCCTACTGGCACGGTTTTTCTGGTCCCCTGACAGGCCCTTATTTCCCCACTGGCTCTCTCCACCTCAAATCTAATGCACCAGAGGAAGTCTGTAGGACATTAGCCCAGTCACCCCTGAGTTTCTGACTTCCTCCCACACTGTCTACATGAATTTTTTATGATCTCTTCCCATACAGTGTCAGAGGTAGTAGGCCCTCTATGCAGCCCCAATACATTACCTGTAGTGTGATCCAAGCTTTTACAATCCAAAAATGCCCTCTCTGAATCTACTCTGAAATGCATAATGTTCGCTAAGGTTTGAACTTTGGCACAACTTGGAGAGGGAACACAGAAAAAGCTGATGTTTATCAAAGAAAAAGCTGTGAAAAGTAGGGAACATCTGAAGATTGTCCTGTAGGAATTTGACTGAGGTAGGGGAACTAGCCTCAAGGAAACTGATGGTAGAAAAAATGAGCAAGTAAGGGTGTTTGGGGGCACTGAAGAGAAGGGACAATAAAGAAGAGCCAGCTTTTACATCCTCCAACCCCCTAACATGTGTCTTTCTTCACATTCAAGAAGCACTTGCACCTCATGTGAACACCTTACACAAGGTGGTGGAGGGGACCCATTGGTTCACTGGGCCTCAGGATGTCTGGTCAGTTCAGAGATTCCAAGAGAGAAAAAGAGTAAAAGAATGGACATGAGACCTGTGGAGGGATTATGAAGGAAGACACATTGGATAGATAGGAGGTCTTTGGATAAGGGAACTTATACCCTTTGGCCATCATGATTAATACCCCTACCACAACTTTGTGCATGCCACACAACATATTCATACTCTTAATTATCTCATTTTCTTCAGAGTAATTGTAAATACTAATGTGTTTTCAATTTCAGTCTCCGCATATTCTTCATATATAGAAACACCACTGTAGCACCATTTGCCCTCCTATCTCACTGTAGGAGAAGAATAGGCTTTTTCTTCATTCCTGAGGACTACTGAAGCCCTTCTTCTCAATGGAAAGAGTGAGGCAGCCCAGGAGAAGGGAAACACTGATCTATACTATTGCTAAAGGAGCCCATGACAGTACTCCTGACCCTTCTTCTATTGCTATGAGAACTAATGTGAACAAGCAACTTGAAAATAGGAGACAGCTGGGCAAATAGAGAAAAGAATGTCCAAGGAAAGATAATTACTAAGGGGGAAAAAAATCCAATCAACCTTTAGTACATTCAGTTAGATTAAAGAGGATATTACAGTTATTAAAATAAAAAGAGGCTAGTTGACTATTAAGATGGGAACAAATATTTTTCATAATGAAGAAATACTCATTATACAATCATATGAAATTTAAAAATTATTTGTGATTTTTTTAATCAAATTATTGTATTTCTTAGAACAAAAGCAATGATATTAATATTTAAAGTAAATTAATTTACATTCTTAACATTAATTTTATCAAATCGCAGAAGGAAGCCAGAATAAAACAGATACAACTCTGGATCAGTGCTTATGTGTTAGTAAATGAGAAAATTATTAAAACATTCTATTATTTAATTCTCACAATATCCCTATCAGGTAACTGTCAGTATTTTTATTTCTAATGAGAAATGGAATCCTCTAAATTAGTTAATTTAGTAAGGGCCAGTAAGTAGCAACATCAGGGTGATAATAAAATTCTGTCTAAAGTCCTGGGTCCTAGCTGTCCACAGTATTCACCGTCTACATCATATCACCAGCAAGAGAATTTTGATCATGAAGTGGTTAAACTTAGTTTTAGCCATTACCATGATGCGCTCCTGCTCATTTGTGGATACATGGATGGAGCACATCAATCTATACTTCTTGGTATTAAGGTTCCTCTATGATGTTCCAGGTTTCTCCTGAAAATCAGCATCTCCTGGGGTCTCCCTCTTATCTCACATCCTAGAGAATCTGGCTCCTACTTTCTCTCTGGAGGTGTGGTGTAGAGGAGAGGATACTTGTGCTGGAGAAACACAGAACCAGTTCTAATCCTGCCTCCTTCACTCATTTAGTAGTGGGACCTTGGAAAAGATCTCATAAGTTTATATATTCCTTTAACTGCCTGATATGAATTGCTTTTTCATATATTTTTGAAGATTAACTGGGACAAAGATAATCTACATATGTATATTTATACACATAATTATATGTGTGTGTGGTGTGTGTGTCTGTATATGTCTGTATATACTATTCCCAGGCCAAGCATTTTCTTTCTCATTCCACTGGGGCAAGTTATCAACCCTCTATCTCTACAGCCCTAAAAACCTTGATGTGGGCTCTGTGCAGTGGCACAGACTGCCCTAATTTATAATGAATACCTTTCCAAGAAAAGTTTGTGCCTTTGTTATCACAGGCAGATGTATTCCTCATCCTGATGTTGAAAATCGTAAAAAAAAAAAATAAAAGAAGAAGAAGAAGAAAAGTTCAGGTGGCAAGTACGATGTTTAACACAAGGAAAAGGCCTGAACGTCAAACAGCTGTCCCTCGTAAGGAAGGTTGTCTCTAGACATGACTTCTTTTACTGGACAGATTATGGAAATACATATGTTTGCAGTTTCCTGACCCATTCACAATAAAGGGCCCGAAAAACAGACTCAGTCTCGGAATAAAAAATTCTGTAAAATAAGAGCTGGAGTGGTCTTGACAGTGGAGTCTGGGAACTTAAAAAATGAGGTTTCAGCAGAGACAACTATCATTTCCCTTGAAAGGCACAAACTTGTCGCATAGGACATTAACACAGCTTGTATTTTTCAGTAATCATGAAACTAAATATTTATTTATAGGGCACTTAGATATCTGTATCAGTTGTCATCAAGTTGACTCTGATCCATGACAACTCCATGTGTGTTAGAGTAGAACTGTGCTCCAGAGGGTCTTCAACAGTTGCTTTTTCAGAAGTAGATTGCCAGGCCTTTCTTCCGAGGTGCCTCTGGGTGGACTTGAACCACCAACCTTTCAGTTAGCAGCTTAGTGTGTTAACTGTTTGCACCATTACATTTAGTAACATTTAGTTTCTCACAATGATCCTAAGAGTTAGGTTCCATATTTAAGCTCAAGTTGTCTTTTAGGAAACATAAGCCCAGAAATGCTAAATAATTTATTCACCATTACATAGCATATAAAAGAAGAGACAAAATTTGAACTCAAATATTCTGGACACAAAATCTCCACTCTTGGTACATATACTGCTATGCTCCCCTCTCTTTAGTTCCCTGAAGAACATGGAACATCCTGGACAATAAGCAAATATATACTCAAAGACTCTGTAGTTGTGTGTGTGCAAGTGTAGGGGGGAGGATTCCTACGGACTGTCCTATATGACACGGATGGTGGCTCACAGGCTTTACCATGTGTCTTCAGAGCAGTGATAAAGGAAATATGGAGAAATGGGAGGACGAGGATGTTATGCCAGCCGTCCTCTGTTTATAGTGGGGATTAGATGTTTTTCTTTGCGAATCTGAAAGAGGGTAAAAAAGCAACTCTCCTACCTCAAACAGATACACTGTATACCCCAAGAATGAGTAAAAGTCCTGAAGGAAGAAAGACAGACAGCAAGGAAGAGACAGCCAAATGGTACTGATGAGCTCAGGTGCAGGAGCTAAGCCCCAGGACAAGAAGAACTACAGAGAGTGGATAAGGGTATAAGAAAGCTCAAGAGCTCGGCGGGCAAAGGCTCACAGGGCCTGGACAGTTCCAAGGATTGAAATATGGAAAAATTTTCTGAGAAAAGCAACATTTAAAAAATTTGTAGATGAGGAACCCGTGGTTTGTGACATTGAAAAATGAGACAGTGCCAGCCTCAAAGTCTAGAAAAATCCCAACACGACGGGGAGGAACAGGCATGGAGAGAGTCAAGACCTGAGGACCTGAGGGGGAAGAGTCCTCAAAAGCATTATACTCAAATTGATTCCGTAACCCTATAACCCAGTAGCCATACTGAGGTCTGTATCTGGAGTAAACATTTTGATGGTTTGTATCTCGTCTAATACCAAACTTTATATTGCGGGAAAATGTTCTACAGTATACACCCAGGATCCAGGCAGTTTTCTCAGACACATCTACCTCCCAGTAATGTTTCCCTGAGGAGAAATATTGAGAGCCCAAGATTCCATAATTATAATACTCAACAGGCCAAATGGGCACAGACATCACTTGTCTCTGATCTTCTGAAAGGACAAGACTCAAATTTAGGTTGACTGGATTCAGTGTGATGTCCACTGTAGAAAAAAAATTATAAGATTAGGTGACAGATATGGGGTAGATTTATCTTGTGATATTGTGAAAAGGGAACTTGGAAGTGACTGGGAAGAACTTGTACTGATGGATTGGGAGAGCGGAGAACATTGAGAAATCTATTATGTATATGTTGTGTGGGGGGGACATATGGGGTTAAGATTATGAGATTCAATTAGATCCAATTAAAACGTCTGAAAAGGGATTGAGAACATGGTGATTTGAAGACTGTGTAACAACTTCTTACCCCAGTAGTGTTGGGCATCTGTTAGCTCTGAAATGATAAAAGATTCAATGATGTTGATTAGAAGTACAGGAGTCAGCACTGATACCTATCTCCTCTCTAAAGTAGGGGCAGGGGAAGAGAGTAATGTGAGGCTGTGAACTGGTAAATGAGAGAATGAACCAGTCACCTGGCCATTCCTCCTTGGATATGACCACATTTTCTTCAACACAGGAAATTCCTTCTTCTTTGAACTTCCTCCTCTCCTCTAGCCTTACCTTGAAACTATATCCTCAACTCCAGTTAATTCCCACCACCATAAGAATCCCACACCCACATCGTTCCCATGCTTCTCCCTACCCTTAAATACTTGCAGCATCCCGCTCAGATCTGGGGCTCGGAATATATGCTTCGGTTTCTTGGGAACAGTTTTTGGCTTCTTTAGTGTCCAAATTTCACACCTACGGATGAAAAAAACTTTGACTCCCATCTCTCTGACCTTTTGTCCCTCCAACAGCACTGCCTCTCTCACCTTTCACCCCACTGATACACTTGAACTCTCTTCCCTGAGGAGCCTAAGGAGGAGAGAGGGGTGACCCCTGACCCTAGTACCAGAAGAAACGTGCTCATGTCTACCCTCACACCTACCATCTGTGTGACCTTGTGAAGATTTTGACCTCTCAGAAACAGTTTATTCCTTTACAAAATGGAATAATTAACCCCTCCCATGATACCTCCTGGAAATAATATAAAATTAGATGAAATGATGCTTAGGAAAAACTTTTGCTACCTTTGAAGGCAACTGATAGGTGGAAAGTCACTGCCATATCAGTGAGTTCTCCAGGCAGATTAACAGCGAGGCTGTGGATTCTGGCTGCAGTATGTGGCTCCTTCCTGTTTGGAGTGCCTGGTGAGCCTGGGCCTTAGGGGCTCCAAAGCCTGAACCCCAGTGCTAAGACCCCAAAGAACATGTGAGATTTCAGATTCTCTGGGAAAAAGTTACAAACACTTGACTGACAAAGTAGAAATTATGACCAGTAAAGTAAATATGGTCAGAATTTCCTGGGTTGTAAGGAACTTGATGCTACCAGATGGGTTGGCAACTTTAGACAAAAAGACAATGCTTTTTCATTTGAATTTCTAAAGTATGTGACCAAGTAGAGATTAATTATTGGTACCAGGGTCAAAGTGACTATATCCTGAGACTCAGGTCTGTTTTTTGCAAATCTAAAGAGACCCTTATAGAATGACCTAGTCTCTTCTATTCTCATGTAAGTAAAGTAAATATAAAGAGCTATCTCCATCTCTTATTTTGTGGCTTAACTGGACCTCCATGTTGTAAGGCAAGCACCTATGAAACACAGGAACCAGAGCTGATGCAGGAACAGAGAGTGAATGAAATGAGTGAAGTCACAGGTGTCTAATATGGTAACCCGTTATCTGTGATGCTCCAATTAGACATAACTCTGTGACCTCCAACCACTGAATTCACTACCATAGAATCTGGTACATTTTCAATAGACATGGAATACTCAAACCCTCATCTGTGACCAGCAATTTAAGATAATACTATAACCAAACTTCCCTGCCCTGTGAAACTTTTCATTCTGATTGACCACCTGATAACTCTCCTGGTTACAAATCTCTGTTCACAGCACAAATCACCACCCCTAGTCTCCCATACATACCATTTCATGATGCCACTCATGTCCTGGGGAGAAGAGAGAAAACATGAATCACAGAATAATAAAAATTACAGCAAAATTTAATGAAAGAAGAAAACCAGTAGAGAAAATCAGTGAAATAAAAAGTGAGTTATTTGAAAATATCAACAAAATTAACAAACCTTTACTTAAACACATCAAGAAAAAAGAGAGGAAGCAAATCACTAAAATCAGGAATGGAAAAACGGACATTACTACCAACCTTACAGAAATAAGGATTGTAAGGGAATACTATGAACAGTTGTATGCCAACAAATCAGAGAACCTAAATGAAAAAGACAAATTCCTAGAAACACAGAAACAACCAGCATTGACTCAAGAAAAAATAGGTAATCTGGAACAGACCTAAAATATGTAGAGAGTGGCTTAGAAATAAAAAAAACTTCCTGCAAAGAGAATGCCAGGCCCAGACGACTCCACAGGTGAATTCTACCAAAGGTTTAAAAAAGCATTAATACCAATACTTCACAAACTCTTCCAAAATACAGAACAGGAGGGAACACTTTCCAATTCGTTCTATGAGGCCAGTATTACTTTAATACTAAAAGCAGACAAACACATCACAAGAAAACTACAGAACAATATCTCTTAAGAATATAGATATAAATTTCTTCAACAAAATACTAGCAAGTAGAATCCAGGAAAATATAAAAAGACTATACACCATGCCTAAGTGGGATTTATCAGAGAAATGCAAAGTTGGTTCAATATATGAGCATCAATCAATATAACTGATTAAAATTAATATAATATTAATGGAATAAAGGACAAAAATCACATGATCATCTCAATAGACACAGAAAAAGCATTGGCAAAATGAGCACAACTTCGTGATAAACACAAAATAGTAACAGTAGTAACAACAAACTAGGAATAGGAGGAAGGTTCCTCAACCTGAAAATGGGTATCTGAAAAACCCACAGCTAACATTATACTTAATGGTGAAAAACTGTGAATGCTTTTTTCCTAAGATCAAGAACAAGATAAGGATGTCTACTATCAACACTAGTATTCAACATTGCACTGGAGGTTCTAGCCAGGGCAATTAGGCATGAAAAAAGAAATAAAAGCCATCCATATTGGAAAGGAAGAAGTAAAACTATTTCTATCAGCAGACGACATGATCACATACATACGTAGAAGAGCCCTGCTCTATATACTGCCTATAGGTGGCATCTTTCGCTCCCTTAATTTTAGCACACATAGGTGAAGTTGACTCTGAATATTACATAGCTAATCATATTGTCTCTTAAATCCAGGATAATACATACTACAAATAACAATCCAATCAAAAAACGGACAAAGTACCTGAACAGGTACTTCACCAAAGAAAAAATACAAATGGCCGATGAACACATAAAAAGATGCTCACATTCATTTGTCATTAGGGGAATACAAATCAAAACCACAATGAAATATTACTTCATAGCCACTAAGATGACTAAACCCACTGAGCTGATTCCAACTCATAGCAATGCTATAGGACAGACTAGAACTGCCCCATAGGGTTTCCAAGACTGTAATCTTTATGACATGGAGCCCTGGTGGGGCAGTGGTCAGGAGCTCAGCTGCTAACCAAAAGGCCAGCAGTTTGAATCCACGAGCCACTACTTGGAAACCCTATGGGGCAGTTCTACTCTGTCCTACAAGGTGACTGTGAAACGGAATCGACTCAACGGCAACAGGAGTCTTTACAGAAGCAGACTGCCACAGCTTTCTCCCAAGGAGCGGCTTGTGGGTTCCAGCCAGAGGAGTGGCTGGTGGGTTCCAACCACTGACCCTTCGGTTAGCAGCCAAGTGCTTAAACAATGTGCCAGAAGGGCTCCTCACTAAGATGACTATTATTAAAAAAATGGGAAACAACAGGTGTTGGCGAGGATGTGGAGATACTGGAACTGTTGTCCATTGCTGGTGGAACTGAAAAGTGGTTCAGCCACCGTGGTGAACAGTTTGGAGATTCCTTTAAATTTAAACATAAAATTATCATATGATACAGCAATTTGACTCCTAGGTATATACTCAAAATACTTGAAAGCAGGAACATGAACAGATACTTGTAAACCAGTGTTCATTCTAGCACTCTTCACAATAGCCAAAAGGTGGAAACAACCTAAATATCCATCAACAGATGAATGGATAATCAAAATGTGGTACATACTCACAGGAATATTACTCAGCCATAAAGAGAAATGATACACGCTACAACATGGATAGACCTTGAAAACATAATGCTGAGTAAAATAAGTCAGTAACAAAAGGACAAATATAGTATGATCTCATTTATATAAAATATCTAGAACAGGCAAATATATAGAGACCAAAATTTATGAGTCATTACCAGGGGCAGGAGGGAGGGGGGAAAAGGAAGCCATTGCTTAGGGGACACTGAGCTTCTCGTAAGGGTGATGAAAATTTTTGGAAATGGTTAGTGGTGATGGTTGTACAACCTGATGAGCATAATTGAAGTCACTGGATTGTGCATGTAACCCAAAACCCATTGCCGTCGAGTTGATTCTATTTCATAGTAACTCTATAGGACAGAGCAGAACTGCCCCACAGGGTTTCCAAGGAGTGACTGGTGAATTCGAACTGCTGACCTCTTGGTTAGCAGCCATAGCTTTTAACCACTGTGCCACTAGGGCTCCAAAACACTTGTTGCCATCAAGTAGATTCCGACTCATAGCGACCCTATAAAAGAACGTTAAAATGGCAAATGTTTTGTTATATATATATACTTATCACAATTGATACTAAACAAACACATATAGTTCTTAAACCTGAAAATGCATGTGTTTACTTTTGGATAAATGAGTAAAGACATGATTGTCAAATGTCCTATACTAAATCACAGACAAAGATAAAGGGACCCAGAGAATACCACCAGATACCATAGATCTTTTATCTCTGGCCAAATATTTGCCCTTTCTTTGTAAATTAATAAACCTGGGACACTCCTGGAATGCTTACATTCTATTATCCCCATATCTGAAACAGATGGCAGAAAAGGGGCACTCTAGCACCAAAGGACCTCTCAGTATCACCACCAGGCTGAGAGCCCAAAGATACAGAAGGGAAGGAAACTTAGTCTGTGTTTTTCCAGAATCTCAGATCAGGTGCTTCTGTGAGTCTTACCTGCAGCAGCTCCACTGTTGACCACTGACACCGAAGTTCCAGATCTGAGATAAGCTCTCTTACCAACTGGCTCTGCTGGACCAGCTCATCTTCAGTCTCTGCCAAGTTATCCAGCACCTTCCTCTCCTCTTCCTCCAACTTTTGCAGCTCTCTCAGCTCCTCACTGTCCAGGATGCCTCTGAGGTGATTAAACTCTGCTTGTATCCTTTGTCTCTCAGTCTGTATCTGATTCTGCAACAAAGGGCAAGACAGGTAGGGAGTCTGTCAGACTGAGGGCCTATTTTGCAAGGGACTAGAAGCCAGAAAAAAGAAATATTTTCAGGGAGTTTTAATTAAGAAGGAGTAGAAGCAAGGGAGGAACTCTTGGGAAATGTGTTTTTTCCTACTATTTTACCTGTAGCACCTACCAAAACAATGGCCTCAGTCTATCTTATCTAGGCCAACCTTGAGACAAAATGTGACACTTAAGTGAGGCTTAGCTTGCAGACAGTTGTCCTGGACACTCATGTCTCCCCTCATTATCACACTCCTAAATTTGAGCCTTAAAGAAAACCCCAGTCCCTTGCCCAATGTCTTCCACCAGAGTCGCACTGATGACAGAAACTGGACACGGTATTCAACAACCATCTTCACTATAGCTTCTGTCTATGTGTTCAACTCCAAATATTTGTGTACATTTGTGATATGTACACTTTCCAACCCCAAGTCCCAACAGAAGAGAACTAATCAACTGCTTCAGGGCTCACTGACTCTCAGGTAACAAAGAGGAAGGGGCCTCCTTGTGACTAGGACCAAAGATTTTGCCCAATTTGTTTCTCAGAACTCCCTTAGGAAGAGACTCCTCCTGCCTTCCAAGAAGCTCTCTCTTCTCTGATGACAGCTTGCCACTTCTCAGCTTCCTGCTGCTCCTTCCTCAGCCTCTCAAGAGCTGCATGTAGTTTCTCCTGTGAGAAAGGAATCACACCAGAGTTAAGCTTTGCGCTTTCTTACTCCTGAATGGAGGAAAAATCAGGCCAGTAATCAGGCTGAAATCAGAAGAGACAAGTGTATGAAACTGTGAGGCTGGTGATTAGAAAAAAAGTCTGAGGAAGTGAATCTATTTTTTATCCCTGGGTAATGGAAGTTACCACCCTCTCAACAAGAGTAGCTAGATTCTCTCTTTTCCTAGAGGAAGAATCAATCCCGCAGCAAGGAAAGTTCCTTCCTCTTGTTAACACTCCCATATCCAATCCACAATGTTCCCAGCAACCCTCCTGTTCAGAGATGCAATCGGAGCTTAACTTCAGAAACAACTCTGCACTCATACAGCAAAAGGAAAAAAATAACACAAAACAATCTCTCTACTCTTCACTAAGAGTCTGTATTCTATTTTTTGTCTTTTATGTAAATATAAGGAATGTATACAAATATCCTTCATTCTTTGGAAGCTGAGCATAGGGTATGGAAATAGATTACAGGAATGAGTACTGTGGTAGCAAGGTGAGTAAAATAGGTTGCAAAGGTGAGATCTCCCATTGAGTACTACCTTCTGCACTCTCTCCCTTCATTCTGGGACCTACCTGACATTCCTTGACTACATTCTCCATGAGGAATGTGTGGTGACCACGGTGTTCCTGAGACCATCTACAAAGCCAGCAAATGATCCTTCCATCTTCCTTACAGAAAAACAGGCACTTCTCTCTATGGTGCACACAGAGTTCTCTCTTCTGCTCTTCCTCTGGGGTCAGTTTTACCTTCTTGAGTCTCTCTACTATGTTGGACAGATGCTGATTAGTCCATAGTTTCCCAAGCAGGTACCTGATCCCACAAACAGGACAACTGCTTTCCCCTTCTGGGCCAATTACTGCCTCATTGTTGTGGGCAGTGATGCAGGCTTGGCAGAAGCTGTGGCCACAGTCTAGACTCAGGGGTTCTGTCAAGAGCTCCTGGCAGATGGGGCAGGTCACCTCCTCCTCAAGGCTCACTAGGATTTTTGAAGCCATCGCACTGCTTCCTTGGCTTCTTCCTGACATTGAAGCTCTTCTTGCACAAAGACTCCTAGATGGCTGGGTAGGTTGAAAGGGGACAAGGTAAGAATGGTACAAATAAAAAGGATTCTGACTGTGCAAAAATCAAGAAGCTTAATTTTAGACTTCTGGCATACTGAACAGTGAGAGATAAATTTTTTTTAAGCCACCCAGTTTGTAGTGATTTACTGCAGCTCTAGGACACCAATATCAATGTTCCAAGGTTTGATGGTTAAAGAAAGATCTGTGGTATGTGACAACCTATAAATCTTCCCCTATCCTCTGTGAAAGGATAGGGTGTGATGAAGTCTGTATGGAGATAAATATAGACCTAGAAAAACTTCTCACTCCCCTAATCATCCATGAAGTGAACCTGATGAGGAACAAGGCTGAAGGTGGGCTGGCGGATTGTAATCCAGGCAATGGTACAGATACTGAAAATCAGCCAAAGGCCGTATGCATATAGCCTCAAGCTGTAGGGACAATGGGCCAGGTCAGGCTCTGATGACTGGCAAGACCAAGGAGTGCTATGATAATATCCACTCCTGTTTATGACTAAAGCTGTGAGCCAAACATGGGTGTGGGACTCTCTGTTATCTCTCATCCCAATAAGGATCCAACCAATGCTCAGAAGCACCAAGAACCTACAGAGGAAGGAGGAACAGAGCATACATTCTTCTACTGGGCTGTGGACTTACAAGGAGTTGATGTCAAAGTAGCTGCTACCATAATGGCCACAGAAGGAAGAATGTGCCAAAAAGCTAGAGCTTCTACACATGGGGAGTTACCCCACCATTGTCCAAGTAGTGACTCAAGGGCCCAGCAGTATATTGATGTTAATAAAAATTTGTTTTATTTTATTTTTTGTTGTTGTTGAGAATATACATAGAAGAACACGCACTAATTCAAAAATTTCTACATATACAATTCAGTGACATTCATTACATTCTTCAAGTTGTGCACCCATTCTCACCCTCATTTCCCTAATTGTTCTTCCCTCATTAACATAAACTTACTGTCCCCCCTAAGTTTCCTATCTCATCTTTTGAGTTGCTATTGTCAATTTGATCCCATATAGATAGTTCTTAAAAGAGCATAATGCTCAAGGCAGACATTCTTTACTAGTTAAGCTAAACTATTGTTTGGTTTTGAGAAGACTTCAGGGGTTATTTTTGGTATAAGATTTCAAATGTAAAGATTACCTCAGGGCAATAGTTTCAGGGGTTTATCCAGTCTGCATGGCTCCAGAAAGTCTGTATTTCATGAGAATTTGAAATTCTGTTCTTTATTTTTCCCATGTTAATAAAATTTCATTACAACAAAGTAATTGTTTTTTTACCCCATAGTATTAGTTATCTTCTTGTATACTATATCCATTGTTCATTTTTTTCTCTCTCCTCCACTAGAATATAAGCTCTTATATGTATTTAATATTTATTATATGTTGAAATACTGTGCATTACACTTCGCACATCAGCAGTCTGCTTTATTTCCCACAAATTAAATCCAAAAAGATAAATGAATCAATTTCATCCTATGTGTTGGGCCTCATGCCAGACTGAGGAGACAATATCTGGATAAGATGGATTCTAACCAAGAGTAAGGCCAAGACTCACAGGGAGGCAGTTACAGTGACCTCTGAAAAGTGGGATTATACAACAGAACTGGCATATATCAGAATGTATGTAACATCAAACAAGGTGCAAATTGCTCACAAAGTAAGCTTAAGATGGGACATACTCAGTGTCAACTGATGGAGTAAATTTCTTTGCAAGACCATTGAATACTCGGGAGTTTTTCTGAGTAATTACCAACTCCTAATAATGAGCACTGAGCAAGGAAAAATAGTAAGGAATTGAAGTAACAAACAAAGCAAAGTTGTGTCTGAGAGGAAAAATAATGAAGAAAAAGTTCTAAGGCAAGTGAGGACACTAGTGTCATATGTGCTACTGAAGTAAGAGTAAGCAGGTCTATTCAAGGAAGTGCAAGTAGATCCATGAGACTGGACCTCCACAAGGACACAGGATAAAGGGTGGGGGGATGCAGAGGCAGGTGGTAGTCAGATCATCCAACCTGATGTCTTCAGGTACGCTAAGGGCTGGGAGAACATATTAGGAAGGCCACAGACAGCCCGTAAGTGGTTACAAGGAGGGGAGTGAAAGAACCAGCTTCAAGACTGTGCTTGGCCATGTCCCCAAAACTTCATTCTAGGCAGGAGGGAACAGGAAAGCTGGTAATAGGGAACCCAAGGTCAAGAAGGGAAAGTGTTGACATGTCATGGGGTTGTTAACCAACATCATAAAACAGTATGTGTACTATTTAATGAGAAATTATTTGTTCTGTAAACCTTCATCTGTAAGTACCATAAAAAAAAAAAATTAAAAAAAAAAAAAAAAAACTTCGTTCTATCTGGTGCCCTATACTAGGAGCCTGGACTTTCACATGCTTTGAACACAGGGACCACTGTCACTAGCTCTTTTCTGAGGGAGTAGAAGCGGGAGGAAAACAAGACTGTGTTCCTCGCTTAAAAAAAAAAAAAAAGTTTTCTCTTCCTATTGCAAGGACGCAGCCTGGAGAAATAATGGTCCCTCTAGGAAACATACAAGTTCTTTACTTCTTCAAATCTCCCCTTTGGAGGAGACCTTCCCCAGGCTGGGGCTACCATCCATCTGCATTCACGACAGGAAGTCTGCAGGCCCTTTAAAGCAGCCTCTGGCGCACAAATTAAATTCACCTAAATTCACACAATACTTTCTTCCTGGAGTCTCTCGCCCTCTGGCCCACACACACCATCCCACTCACCTTTCGACCTGAGCAAGAGTTGTGAGTCCAGGTGGAAGTGGTGAAGAAAGGCCAGGGGAGTGCGTGGTCCAGATTCACTCACCAAATCAGGGGCTTGGCCTCCATGAAATAGTTCCTCTTAAGAAGTTCAGTGAGAAACGAAAGTTAAATTCCTGGTGTGGGCAGGAAGAGGAAGGAGGAGGAGCTTCTGGGTCAAATCAGCAGCAGCCCCTTAAGGCTACTGGAGAAAAAGCAATGCTTTAACCCAGTGGTGCTCAAGGAGAGAAAGGGGGATTTGGCAGAGAGGACTGACATTTGCTAATGTCTGAGGGCATTTCCGAGTGTCACAACTAGACTAATGCTGATATTTACTGGGGTAGAGGGCAGAGATGCTGGGTAGAGGGTAGGATGTAGATGCTAAACATCCTACAATGCACAGGACATCTGTACAACAAAGAATTATCTAGTCAAAAATGTCAATGGTACTGAGGTTGAGAAACCTCAACTTTCTAGAACAGCTAGGCACCCAGCAGCGACTTGCTAGAACAGCTAGGCACCCAGCAGCGACTTTCTAGAACAGCTAGGCACTCAGCAGCGACTTTCTAGAACAGCTAGGTACCCAGCAGCTTCTTTCCCAGCAGCTTCTTTCCTAACACTTTCACAGTTGTATGCAAGCCCCCCATTCAGTCTAGCAATTTGAATCATTTCTTCAGGTCCATTTGACCCCTGTTGGGTAAAGAATTTGGTTTTATCAAAAGTATGGTGACCTTTGCACTTGGTTCCTTGGTTCCTGAGAAATAACCCTTGGAGAAATTGGGGTACATTGGTCTGGGACTTCCAGGCCACACTTATTTTTACCATCATCTCTTTTCTCCCCCAACTTCCACCAGCCCCATGAGCCCCAGTCTACCTATTCTCTCCTGTCTTAATTCTTCCAATCCAAGTGCAGATCAGGATGAACAGTGTGCATTTAGCCTCTGGATTCCCACACATTTGATCTCCCAAACGAAGCCCTAGCCCAGGAGCAAACCAGGTCTGTGGTTTTACTGCAACCTGTACTTCATCCCACCACAGACACCAGAGCTGAGACCTTAGGATGAACCACAATTTCCTCAAACTGTGAAGAAGATTCTAAGGCCCAACTGACACAGGAACCAGACAGGAGGGAGTCATATTCTTCTCTGGTCATGATCCCTTCCTATGATCTTCCAAAATTCTAAACTTCTAGATATGTTAAGAATCACCTCTCTCTGACATTTACTTTCTATAAAAATGCCTCTCTGGGAGGGATGGAGTTGGGTCCAAGTAGAGATAGGCACATCTTCCTCTGAAGCCCCCACTAGACTCTTACACTAGGGCTCCCTTAGAGACAGAAATCTGCATTATAGGCTCTGGTCCAGTGCTGTCCAATAGAAATATAACGTGAGTTACATACGTAATTTTAAATTTTCTAGTATCCAAATTAAAAAAGTAAAGTGAAAGTGGTAAAACTAATTTAATAACCTATTTTATTTAGTCCAATATTTGTAAAATATTATCATTTCAATATACAATTAATATAAAAATTATTAGATATTTTATTTGGGGGGGCATTAAGTCTTCAAAATCTGATGTGTATTTTACACTTCCAGCATATCTCAATTCAGAGTAGCCATATCTGAAGTACTCAACAGCCACAAGTGGCTTACCACTACCACTGGACAGCCAGCTCTAGTCTCCTCCCTGGTATTCATTTATAGTCTCACACCCACCTCATAATTTCTCTTACAGTAAAGCGCAAAAAGGTACACAGCACCTCCCTACCAAAGTCACAGCAGCTCCCTCACTAGCTATTTGTGTTTGGGCATAAGAAGAAAAGGGACTGGGGTGAAGCTGGAAGAGATGATTCTCTTCCTAAAAGTGTTTGATATACATTTTGTTTTCTCTTTGCCTTTTCTGGCTATTCTGGCTTTGTATTGGACTGCTCATTTTTTTCTTTCCCTCTTTTTACTTCAATTCATTTGAAAGATATATTTTCTTTTTCTATTTTTCAATAGCTACCCCTTAAATTTTTAAGGTCCATGCACAATTTGAATTTAGGCACCAACAATAACATGATAATGGTTTGTTTTTAGTATTTAATCTTATATATACTTACTCACAAATATAGCAATTTCTTTGCTCATTATTGCATTTTATATAATCTGACTAAGACATTCATTATAAGAATGCAAAAGTACTGGCCAATTTCTTTCATAAACACAGATGAAAACCAACCTAAACAAATCCAGTATTATAAATGAAGAATAATAATGGTTTATTTCAGGAGTTTGTGGTAAATTTCGTACTTAAAACAAATCAACGTACTTAGTCACATTAACAGAATAAAAATGTCACAAAATTATATCAGCAATTACAGAGAAAGTATAGGCTGAAATTCAATTTTCCATTCAGTACAAAAAAACTCACAGCAAATTTAGAAGGGAATCTCCTAAAGTTGATTCCACACATCAACAATGAAACATATATCAAATGCAGTGCTTAAAGGCAAAATGTTCAAAGTTCCCCCTCCCTCATTTCAAGATCTGTAATTAGTCAAGGATGCTCACTTTCACCGCTGGGTATATTCTAGTATTGAGTAAATGTTGTTCAAAACGAAAGGAGAATGCAGAAAAACAGAAGGTCAAAGGGAAGTGAATCAGGAGCAGATGAACCTCAGGGCAGAGGGTACTTCTCAGAAGTATTGGTGTCAGAGATTGCACTGTGTCCCCCCAAAATGTGTTATAAATCCTAAACCCCTGGTCAAGAGTTTGGCTGCTAAACAAAAGGTCGGCAGTTTGAATCCACCAACTCTCCTTGAAACTCTATGGGGCAGTTCTACTCTGTCCTATAGGGTCGCTATGAGTCGGAATTAACTCTAGGGCAACAGGTTACCCTGTGGATGTAATCTCATTTGGCAATAGGGTTTTCTTTGTTATGTTAATGAGGCCATATTAGTGTAGGGTGTGTCCTAAACCAATCACTTTTTGAGATATAAAAGGAGTAGATTAGGGACAGAAGCAAGTAAGCAAACAGGAAGGCAGGAGAAATAGATGCCACAGAGCTCCAAGGAATGCAGAGAACATTAGAGATGCCAAGACAAGGATTTCCCCCCAGAGCCAACAGAGACAGACTTTCTCTAGAGCAGGTGCCCTGAATTTGGACTTTTAGCCTCCTAAACTGTGAGAAAATAAATATGTTTGTTAAAGCCACCCACTTGTGGTATTTCTTTTATAGCAGCATTAAAAAACTGAGATAGGTGGGGATAGCAGAATGTTCAACAGCGTGGGTAACGCAGGGTCATTGGGACCACACAGTTACAAGGATTAAAATATGGACAAAGGGGAGTCGGAAAGTAATATTTAGAGAAGGTGTAGATAGGGAAGCCGTGGTTCGTGATATTATAAAAGGAAACAATGCCGGCCTCATAGTCTAAGAAAATCCCAACCCGGCGGGGCGGTACAGTCATGAGGAGAAGCAGCGAAGTAGAAGAGTCCTCATAGGCTCTATATTCATGCTTATGCTTTAACCCAATCACCCAGTATCCACTTTGAGGTTGATAGCTGGAGCAAACACTCTGATTGCTGGCATATTGGTGGAAAGAAAATGCAGGTACCACTGAATTACTGCACACCCCCAGGATCCAGTCAGTCTTGTTGGTCACATCCACCTCCCAGTAATGTTTTCCTGAGGAGAAGTGCTGGGAGCCCAGGACACTACAGTAGTGATGCTCTCTCAGATAGGGAGGCCCAGGCAGCTTAGCACCCACAAATCTCACCTGCCTTCGGTTTTTAGACAGGAGAAGATTTAAATTAGCTGTCTGTGGATCCAGAGTCACGTCCACTGTGGGAAAAAGTACAATATTAGCAGAGGTGAACGGGTACACAAGTCTTATGGTACTAGGAAGAGGGAACACAGGAAGTGATTGGGAGGAATTGTAACTATGTGGGAGTATTTGGGGGAGGGTTTTAACAACTCATACCTGAGAGTGTTGGGAGCGGGGGAATTTGTTTGGGGAAGCGCACATGAAAGGGGATCAGAACATGTCAACTCAGAGAGGCCATGGTTTCTACTTACCCCAGAAGCTTTGGACATCTGTCAGCTCTGTAATGATAAAAAGTCAATGTTGATAGAACCCAAGGTCTCAAGACTAATATTTCTCAGCTTACCAGATGGGGGGTGGGGCAGGGAATTCTGTGAGGATATGAACTGGCCCTTTCACTTCACCTTAAATACAAACCACACCTCCTTCAGCACACTACGTCCCTCCCTCTTCTCCACTATCACCATCTACTAACCAAACTAAACCCTCTACCATATTTATTTCTTACAATTATGGTGATCCCACATCCAAACTCTTTCTCCTGACTCTCCTCACCTCTAAACACTCGCAGCATCTTTTTCAGATCTGGGGCTCGAAACTCAATTCTCAGCTTGCTGGGAAGAGCTTTTGGCTTCTTCAAGGTCCAGAACTCACTCCTAGGGAGGACAGACCTTATGAACCTCCAAACTGTTAACCTTGGATCCCTCCAACACCTCTCACTCAACTCCCAGGCCCACCGGTGTACCACAGCATGCTTTCCTGAAGAAACAGTGTCACTGTGTGAAAAGCTCTAGCACTGGATCCAAAACACCTGAACTTGAAATGAGCTTCTGTCTGTGTAAACTTTGGTAAGACCTGACCTCTCAAGGTCTGCTTTATTTTTCTCCTTTTTTTGTAAAATAGTGATTTTCCCTTCTCTCTGTATATTCTAGAGATAGTATGAAATTAAATAAAGGTTGGGGAAACCCTTGCTATTTCTATAAAACATATAAAAGAATCAAAATGTCAGTGTCACTTTGAAGGGCCCAACATGAGGGGCTGGAGATATCTGAATGGACAGGCAGAAGCCCGGGAACTGGCCACTCTGGCTTTGGGATTATCAAGTGAAGGGCTCCCTGCTGAAAAGTCTGTGAGCTTAGGCCCTAGGGTCTCCCAGAGGCTAAGGGGGTAAGGCCTTCATAACAGCATCTTAGGATTTACTATCTCTGGGAATGTTATACCAACTGGAGAAAGGAGATGTCTTTACTTTCCACCTGAGAATGAAGACTTCAGAAGGGACAACAGGCTCTGGATTTCATGTGTCTGTGAGGAACCTGTAGATACCAGGTGGGTAAGTGGGTAACTATAGATATCATCTTGCCTTTATGAAATTCTAGAGTATGTGATGGAGAATATGTTTGTTTCAGGGCCTAAGCCAGTCTTCTTGACACCATAGACTAAGTTTTTACTGGAATTGAGAAAAGTGGAAATCTGAGCCAGGGGAGAAAGGTAAGTTTAACATAGCTGTCCCAAGAGCTGATTCTCAGAACTTAGGAAACAATTCAGACAGGAATTTCCTTCTGATAAAACATGCACGTAAAGAAAAAATCTGTGTATTTTGAGGTAGCTATAAACTACTAGAATCACAGCAGGAAGCCATTACAAAGGTTTGTGGAAAAGGAGTCATGTAATAGGGACCTAGGGAAATCACTGAGTGAAACCCTTTATTCTTAACGTCAGTATTGTCCTCAGTTTGTGACCTCTCATTACCCAAATTCTCCTACCATAGAAGTCCTTATTTTTGAGACCCTAAAATTCTCACATGATGAGTAGCTCAAGACACAACTATCCCAAATGTTCCCTGCCATATAATTTTTTTTTTCTTTCCTACTGGCCACAAGATATAACTCTATGGGTGCAGGAATCTCTTGATAATACAAGGGAACCACTCTGTTCTCCTACACATACCTTTTTGTGACATCATTCACATCCTAGGAAGGAAAGAGATGGGTTATGTCAAGAAGTAATTTGCTTTTCCCCTCTAATAAAGCCCTACCCATGATCCTCATCCCATTCCTACCACCCCATGATATGATGGGAATAAAGACGGTCTCAGTGGAGAGGCAACACAGTAAAGAGCTCAGGGCAGACTCTCCCTGAGAACTCATGTGGGGTATCAGGAAAAACTCAATTCTTTCATTGTACCATTATTTTTTACAACTCTGTATGTGTATGCAAGCACATGCATATGTTATATATGTATATAATCTACTATTTGCTGGACATGGTGCCTAGCCCTGGAGAATCTCAGGTGATTAAGTCATAATTTCTGTCCTTGAAACTCTTACATTCTGGTTCCCAAGGATATAAACTGTTGTTATTGTGCACTGCTGAGTCAATTCCGACTCACAGTGACCCTATACAACAGGGTAGAACTGCCCCACAGGGTTTCCTAGGCTGTATTTATGGGAGCAGATCAGCAGGTGTTTTCCCATGTGGAGGCACTGATGGGTTTAAACCACTGACCATTTGGTTAGCAGCCAAGCACTTAACAATTGTGCCAGCAGAGCTTCTTAGGACACAAGCTAATGGTCCTTAAATATGGTTGTTCCTCAAACCTCACCTCCTTTAACATTTTACTTTGCCTTTGCTGACTTTATTGATTCCCTTGATTTCAATATATGGATGTTGATGATTCCCAAATTTGTACTTCTGCTCAGAGCTCTTTCTTTTATGATCCACATTAATGTATCCTCTAGCAAATGAGCCACCAAAACCAAAACCCATTGCTGTTGAGTTGATTCCAACTCATGGCAACCCTATAGGACAGAGTAGAACAGTTCCACAGGGTTTCCAAGGCTGTAAATTTTTGCAGAAGCAGACTGCCACATCTTTCTCTTGCAGAGGGGCTGGTGGGTTGGAACTGCTGACCTTTCAGTTAGCAGCCAAGTGCTTAACCACTGTGCCACCACAAGCATCACAAATTCAATATGTTTAAAATAAAACTTACTATTCCTGCAACCATGCTGTTTCTTTTCTTATCCTCCAAACCCCTGAATGATACCAGCATCCACCTGGTTGCCAAATTTAGCAAAGTACCATCCTAAAAATTACCCTATGTTCATCCTGACACCCCATCTTTGAGTAGGCCAGTCCATTTCACACCCTTCTTTTAGCCTTCTGCTGTTTACCTTCATTCCTGCCACTGCCTGTCTCATATGTTGGAGTAGAATTGCCCAATTACCTTTTATCTGGTCTCCCTAATTTCTGCTTTATACACCTCCATGATTCCTGAAGAAATAGCCAACAGTTTAGTCTATAAAATATACGAATAACTATTTTCTCCACGTCAAGGTTACATTTGGTTGCATTTGACAGAAAAACAATTCAAACTAGTTTGGACATGGAAAGCAGTAGAAGTGATGGATATTGTCATGGATTGAACTATGTCCCACAAAAAAAAGTGTGTATCACTTTGGCTGGGTCATGATTCCCAGTATTGTACGATTGTGTACCATTTTGTAATCTGATGCGATTTCCTTATGTGTTGTAAACTCTATCACCATGATGTAATAAGATGGATTAGTGGCAGTTATACTGATGAGGTCTACAAGATTAGATAGTGTATTAAGCCAATCTCTTTTGAGATATAAAAAAGAGAAGCAAGCCGAGACACATAGGGACATCATACCACCAGGAAAGCAGTGCCGGGAGCAGGGCGTGTCCTTTGGACCTGAGATTCCTGCGCTGAGATGCTCCCAGACAAGGGGAGGACTGGTGTCTGGGACCTTCCTCCAGGGCCGGTGAAGGAGGCCTTTCCCTGGAGCTGATGCCCTGGGTTTGGACTTGTAGCCTGCTAGACTGTGAGAGAATGAATTTCTCTTTATTGAGGCCATCCACTTGTGGTATTTCTGTTGTAGCAGCACTAAGGCGACTAAGACAGATATGTTAACTCACACAAACAAAATCTCCGGGATTATATCACTCTTAAGGCATGGCTGTACTTAAAGCATATACCATTTCATGGTTATTTCTCTTATGTTGACTTTATTCTCAGAGTTCATGTTGTGAAACTTGAAAGCACCAGGCTTACATCTGGTTCTCAAATATTAATGATCAATAATGTCACTCACACAGATATGAAAAAGAGAAGGAAGACTATGCGATGGGAGAGTTCTGGAAAGATTGTGAGATAACACTCAAGTTATAATATCCATTGGACAGCCATACTAATGGGTGTGGGAGTCTAGACAGTGCCTTAACTGACTATATAAACTGATAATGTCTTCATATTTAAGAAGTAATTTTTACAGTTTGAGGAGAGGTTGTGGAGGAGCTAGAACAAAGGGATGAAGGAGAAAGCCTTAGGGCAACCTAACATCAAAAATGAAGACCAAGGGCAAGAAGGATAAGATGAAAATCAGATACAGAAAGCAGAGAATGAGGAAAAGCTCCAAAAGGTGGAAAGTAACTACCCCACAACTCTGATAATACTAGGGCCCAAGAACAAGTAAAGAAATGCTTATCCCACCAGTAAAGAGCAACAAGCAGAAGGCAAACACAACATCAGGAACAGAAACAGTCTGAAGGCTCCAGAACATCACAAGGTACTTCATGTCTTAATTTCATAGTCACACCATTCACTCTATGTAGAAAACACCTGTTCAATTTTCAACCTCAGTTCACGTCCTCCATCAAATCTTTCTAGTCTTGACTCCTTGCATCCTTCCCACCTACACACAGACCACAGCCTAGCCTTCTTCACACTCCAAAAGACCTACTCAAACTTGTATTACACTATGTTAAATGATTCTGCCTCAGAGAGGAGTGAAAACAAAGAAGAGCTAGTATTACATAATCACTAAGAAAAATAAATAAAATTAATCCATTAAAAAAAAAAAAGAATCTCTAAGAACTTGAGTCTGGCACATATTTACCTGTGACTGAGCTAGGTGAGAAGGTACCTGACAAATCACAAACAGCATCAGAGACAACTGGTGCCAACAGAACGGAAGCTCTTAAAAGGGGGGTGGACGGGGCAGGGTAATACGTTGCCCCCAGGAGATATTTGGCAATATCTGGAAGGATTTCTGGTTGTCACAACTAAGGCAGTCCTACTGGCTTTTAGTGGGTAGAGGCCAGGGACACTGATAAACATCTTACTTACAACGTGCAGAAAAGCTCCCCACAAAAAATAATTCTCTGGCCCCAAATGTCAATAGTGGCAAAGTTGAGAAACCCTGCTGCAGAATATCATTGGATATGATAAATCTTCTACATGGTATCAAATAAACTTTTGGACCACCTTTTATAAGTAAAAAAAATAAAAATGTGATGTTTCCTTAGCACTGGGGCTTTTAATTATCTTATACTTTACCCCATGACCTCTACATAATTTGACAGGGAAAAGGCACGGCAGGGACAAAGGCAACTTCTTTCACATCCTCAGAAGATGTCACTTGCATGTCCTAGGAGGGAAGGAAAGTTGTCTCTCTTTTCCTTGACTCTCAGACTGGAGGCCCATTCTTGACTCCTACCTGCAGCAGCTCCATCGCTGACCCCTGACACCGACGCTCCAGATCTGAGATAAGCTCTCTCAGTAACTGGCTCTGCTGGACCAGCTCATCCTCAGCCTCTTCTATAATACTCAACCCCTTCTTCTCTTCCTCCTCCAGCTTTTTCAGTTCCCGCTGCTCCTCTTTGTCCAGTATGCTTCTCAGCTTATTAAACTGTGTCTGGATCCTATGTCTCTCAGGTTCCTTCTGACTCTTCAAGAATAGAAAAGAGAAAGCGGCTGAGGGTCTCCTCTACAGACAGACTGGGAGATGAGAAGTAAATGCAGAAGCAATGCCTACAGAAACTATTTCTCCCTTCAGCTCTTCCCAGACCACTGGCCCGGGCTGCCTCATCCAGGCCTCCTTGATACAGACTCATTTCTGGGTGAAATTTAGATTCAGGGAGTCTTCTTAGATCCTTATGTCTCTGCATCAGCCTCCCCTTCCAATTTTGAGTCTTAAGGTAGGAATTACTGGCCTATGCCTAACCACTCTTTCCCAGGAGGACAAGAGCCTGAAATTGTAAAACAAGGTCCCTGCCCATGTTTCCTCTCCTATGTGATTGTCTCCAAAAGCCTGAGGTCACTTTTGGTATGTTCACTATCGAACTACTCCTCCCCTTCTCCTGCATCAAGGGTAATGCCCTTATTTGGAAAGGCTACAGTGGAAGACTGGACACAGGGAAGCTTTTCTAGCCCAACATTAGGGAACACATGTGATCAGGACTCCTTTTGTCCTCAGCTCCAACGACCTGCCCAGATTCCCGTCCCAAGACACATGCAGGAAGAATCCCTCTTGCCTTCCAGCATGCCTTCTTCTCTCTGACAACAGCTGTTAGCTTCTCAGCTTCCTGCTGGTCTTTCTTCAGCTTCTTCAAAGACTCTTGGAACATCTCCTGGAAAGAACATATCAGGTCAAGCAGGGCCAAGCTTTATATTATCTCAGGGCCTAGACATGGAATGAATAGGGTAGAGATTATGCTGACCTCAGAAGATTGTCCTGTCCTGGGATGAAAAATTGAGAAGGTCATCGTATCTTTTGTACACAGGGGATGGAAACCAATGAGAATTGGCTGATTCTCTTTCCTCCCAGGGGAAGAACCTGATTCCAAAGCACATTAAGTCCTTTACTCTCATTGCCGACATATCCCCTACACCCAATCCACCATGCCCTCCTCCTTCCACACCCAGCAGCCCCCTCTGGTCAAAAGGCCATGCAGAGCTGATCTTGAACAGCAGGAAGTCTCTACTCTTGGTCAGGAGGGCATTTTCTAGGCAAATGGGAGGTACAAAGAAATTAGATTAGAGCAGGATGAAAAGTCAAAATATGTTACCAAAGACTCTGTTCTTCCCTGTCTCCCTCTAATCTGGTCTCTCACCTGGTACTCCTGGGCAACCTCCTCCACGAGGAATGTATGATGACCACGGTGCTCCAGAGACCGCTCACAAAGCCAGCAAATGATCTTCCCATCCTCCTTACAGAAGAGCTGCAGTTTCTCTCCATGGTGTGTACATAGAATTACCTTCTGCTGCTTCTCAGGGCCCAACACTGCCTCCCTGAGTCTCTCCACTATGTTGGCCAGGTGCCGATTGGGCCGGAGGTTCCCAGGCTGGTAGCTGGTCCGGCACACAGGACAGCTGCTTCCCCCTTCTTGGCTGATCTCTGATTGCTTGCTGTTTCCTGTGATGCAGTCTTGGCAGAAGCTGTGGCCACAGTCTAGGCTCATGGGTTCCGTTAAGAGCTCCAAGCAGATAGGGCAGGTCACTTCATCTCGTATGTCCACCAGTACTGCTGAAGTCATTGTAGTTACTCTCCTGCCTCCTGCCTGTCCTATCCTGACTTCGGAGGTGCTTCCTGCTTACAGAATCCTGGGTAGAGGAACAGATAGAAAAGAAGCAGGGTAAGAAAGGAAGGAGAAAAAAAGGAATACTGACTGTCCAGGAAAAAAAAGTCAGACATCTGAGGTAACAAGGGTTTCTCATTATAATTTCAAATGCTTTATTCCAGCTCATATTAGATACCAGGTTCCACTCTCACTACAGCAGTGATTATTTTCTTTTACTATTACTGGATTGAGGGACAAACTAAGGCCCTGGGGAACAAGAGCCTTGTGTGAGCCACCATCTGCCCAACCTTATATCAGCCTAGCCAAACACATTCTCAATGTTAAAGGCACCAGACACACTGCTACCTCGGGGCTTTTACTTACTGCTCCTTCTGCAAGGAAGACCCTTCCTTCGTCCTGACATCTGCCAGACTCACTCATTCACTTCATTCAACTCTCTCCTTACATGTTACCTTATTTCAAGGATTTGCTCTGTCTAGCCTATCTAAAAGCACAGCCACCCACACCATCACTCTAGATACAATTACCCATTTTTTCTTGTCACCACCTAATATATCTTCAGTTGTCTGAAGCCTCCCACTAGAATGTAAGTTCCATAAAATTAGGCAGTTTTTGTTCACTGCTGTATTCTCGGCACCTAGAATGGTGCCTGGTACATAGCTCAACAACTTTTAATGAATAAGTAATGCTAGAATCTTCTCATTCCTCCACAGATGATTAGTTTTCTTGGAAGCTTTTTCCTTTCTCTTTACCATCACACTGTCATTACTGTCTAATAATCTGTCTCTAAATTCAAAGGTATGATCTACTGTGAATATAATTTCACCTAACACTCCTACTCCACTGAGTTCTCCACTCACCTTCCCAGAAAACCCCAAAGCAACAATGGCCACAATAAGGAAAGGTAATATTTTCACAGCTAATACTTTTATAAACAGTAGTGATTTAGAAATCACTTTCTCCTGCTTTCCCTACTTCTCATAGGAAAGCCATGAATAAATAAGAGTATTCTTGATCCCTTGATAATGAGAGATATCAATGATTTATAAGATCATACATCTTCAAAGATGTAGAGCCAGCACTGAACCTAATGTTTCCAGAATCCTGGCTCAGAGCTCTGTCCTTGACCTCATAACTTTAAATAGAAACTTAAAAATAACAACAATGAAAAACAGCTGTTATCGAGTCAACTCCAACTCACAGTAACCCTACCTACATGTGCCAGAGTAGAAGAACTCTGCCTCACAGGGTTTTCAATGGCTGATTTTCTAGAAGTAGATTGTCAGGATTTTCTTCCAAGGTGCCTCCAGGTGGACTCGAATCTCTAACCTGGTTAGCAGCCCAAGTGTGTTCACTGTTTGCACCACTAAACCCATTGCCGTTGAATCCATTCCAACTCACAGCGACCCTATAGGACAGAGTAGAACTGCCTAATAAGGTTTCGAAGCCTGTAAATCTTTAATGAAGCAGACTGCCATATCTTTCTCCCGCAGAGCAGCTGGTGGGTTCAAACCACCGATCTTTCAAACGCTGACTTCTTGGTTAGCAGCAGAGCGCTTAACTACTGTGCCTCCAGGGTTCCTTTTGCACAACTAGGGACTCCTAAGTTACATTACTGACATCTTAAATCACATCAAGAATACTCTATAAAAAAAATTTTTTTTAACTGTTTCCAGCATTGAATCACATCACCATTTCATTGAAAGCAATCTGCTCTGCTTGCCTACCTGAAGTCATGTTTGGGCCACCAAGGAAGAGTCATCTCACAAAAGTACTACGGACCCTGTTTCCAGTTTCATGACCCTGGTTTCGTGACCCTCTTACACAACATAGGCCACAGGGCAGCCAAAAGTAGGTTAAATTCCATAATTTTTCTTTTGTTGATGCCCCAGCAAAGGGAGACAGATGTATACTAATGTCACACAGTCAGTATGGGTATAGTTTAAGACCACCAGACCCTGTAATTTGTACCAATTTTCCCCATACTTGAAGGCCTGTTAGGGTAAGAAACATCAAATTCCCTGCCAGGAACAACACTCTCATCAGAGGAAAAGGCCTGAGAAGGTGTTGCAGACAAAGAAAAAAAGAGATCTGTGGAACACAAGCATAGCTAAGCAGGGTAGCTATGGGGACATTGTTGGGAGTATCCAGTGAGCTGAAACCGTGACCTCAGTGCTGCCATCTAGTGCTCTCTGGTGCTCTTGCAGGTCCTGGATCAGTTAATCAGCTTAGTAACCGAACCAAAAAAAAAAACCCAAACTCATTGCCCTGGAGTAGGTTCTGACTCATAGCGACCCTGTTGGACAGAGCAGAACTGCTCCGTAAGGTTTCCGAGGAGTGGCTTCTGGATTCGAACTGCCGACCTTTTGGTTGGCAGTCAAGCTCTTAACCACCATGCCACCAGGGCTCCAACAGAACCACGAACAGTAAATATTTACTGAAAGCTCATTGTGTAAAGGAAAATAATCTAATTATTCTGCAAGTAATAACTCAATAATTCCTTATAACAACGCTATGAGTGTCCCTCAGACCTCATTTCATAATTGTACAAAGTGAGGCCTGGAGAGTTTAAATAGTTCAAGTGGTGAAACTAGTATCTGAATACAGACACACAGTTACAGAGCTGGAGCTCTCATTACTACTTCTATCAATAAAGGGTACAGATTAGGTTGTTGTTGTTAGTTGCTGTCGAGTCAATTCTGACTCATGGTGACTTCATGTGTGCAGAGCAAAACTGCTCCATAGGGTTTTCAAGTACGACTTTTTAGAAGCAGATCGCCAGGCCTGTCTTCCGAGGAGCCTCTGGGTGGGATTGAACCGCCAACCTTTAGGCTAGTAGTTGAGTGCTTAACCATTTGAGCCTCCCAGGGACTCCATGGTACAGAATATAATTGTTAGCAAATTAATGAACCATGGAAAAGTAACTGGCACTACTAATTGGTATTACAGGATATTTACCTATCATCTGAGATGTTTAATGAGACTAATCACACCTGTGGGAATTGGTCATTTAGTTGGTTTGTTAACAACTCCTAACATACTCACATCACCTTATTCAGCACAGTGCACTATGAGTGTCTACTGCCTTTGTTTAATTAGGATTATGACGGCAGAGGCCCAGTCTCCCTTGATCTTCCATCTATCCCAGAGTCTAGCACTAAACCTAACACACACACACACACACACACA